GGTGACACTTTGAATCTTTTCTGTACCCTTTTAAAGAGCAATATAAGTACAATTTGAGGGAAGATGAAACGCAGGTTACGCCACAGGTAGCACAACTGGGATTCAACAACCAGAGAAGAGAAGTGACTTTCTAGGACTAAACCCACATGTTATGGGGAAACTAACTACATACTAGCTTAAAGTTTGAATGGAGAGACAGATTGTCTCCCTGAAATAATTCTAAAATTAACAAATTATTGACCTGTACAATCACTGTATGGTTTCATTATAACTTAGGCTGTTGTTGAGACAGTGTTTAAAATAACTTTTTGGTGCACATCAGAGTAACAATGATGGTCAGAATCGGAGCAGAAATAGCAATGCCAATCTGAATGATCCTACAATTTTAGTTTTTTGAGATATTTTTTGTATCCAAGGCTCTGCTCTGCCTCAGCCTCCTGGATAAATAACCAGATAAATCTTCAATTTATGAGCTCAAATTCAAGTTGCTGACTGCCATTACTGCTTTCATCTTGGTTGGTTATTGTCTTTGCACTGATGCCTGAGTTTGTCATTAAAAATGTCCCAGTATTACTCTTCACAAACTTTAGAGCTGTGCCTTGTTTTTTCTTCTTACACACTTTCCCATTCACACATTTCTTAATTTTGGTCATGGAAATGAATAAGGTCATCATTAGACAAGTTTGTGCACAAATAAAAAAGGAAAGTCAGGGAGAGAAGGCACTATGCAGCTTTGTTAAATACACATAACAAATTTTAATCACCTAATTGTTCTGGATAACATCAGGACCTAAACTTTTTCTAATTATGGGTTGCGAGGCTTCAGCACCATGGTGATGTCTCTTGACAGCATTCATCCACCAAGTGTTTTAGATAAAAGTCTCCATCCAGTGTGACAGGTTACATGAGACACACACTGACATGTCAAAGAGTTAATCTATAGAAATCTCCCTTTAGTGAGTCATTCTATCTGTCCTTTGTCTTTCAGAATACTGCAAATGTCCTTTTCTAAAATTTTAGATAGTCTGTATTTGTGGCACCTGTCAGGCTTGACTGTGGTCCTTCAAAGACAATAACAAAAAACAAAACAAAACAAAAAAGAAAATAAAAAAATAAACACACAAGCACACACTTCCCCTGCCTATACGGATCCCCTCCCCCTACAGCGGTGCAACCTGAAACTGCCTGAAGAGATGAGCCGTCATTAAATACTGCAGAGCTGACATAATGACAGGAAAGATAAAAGAGAGGAAACAAAAAAAGACCAGACCAATTCTCTTCCCATAATGCCGCCCCCAACCCCCAGGCTCTGGCCACCTCTCCTAATAAAAGACGCCAGGCCACACATAGGACACTGGTCAGCTACAAGTTGGCTGTTACAATCTACTGTTCAGGAGACGCTCAAACCCTAGAAAGCAAAATAACCTAGTATTTGACCTCAAGGGAAACAGTAACCAGTTCGACCAATTTTGTGGAACTTGGTTTCCTTTAAACTCTCTGAACTAAAGGAGTACCATGACCTGTTTTCTATTGTCCAAAGCTAAATTTGGAAATGTGGTTAAGGGCAGTTATCTTTAGCCCCAAGACCTCTACTTGCATTCATAAATATTAATCTCTCTGTGCCTGCCGCCAAGTATGCATGGACAACATGCCCACATGGATAAACACACCATAAGCAACTGGCCCAAAAATAATAGTTTGCAAAACTGGGGCCATGGATCAGATGCCAGGGCTAAAGTTTGTGACAGCTTTTATTTTTTATGTTGACAGAAGTCACAACAGGTACATTAGTTGAATTATCTAAAGTGTTTTGTTTTACCAGTCTGGATGGAACAATTCAAAAATGTTCAAATCTTTTACTCTGAAAGAAAAAGATTTTATACGTGTACATTTCTTTAAAAAAGTTCTAATTTTTGTTGCAAGTCCAAGATTTGTGTCTACTTTGACAAGCCTTTCTAAACAGGAAACACACTAATCAGTCTGCCAGTAAACAAAATTGAGTAATTTTCCCATTGCTTAGCTCTGATCGGCAATAGGTTGCATAAAAAAATGTCCTCTGCTCATTGAATGCAAAACCTCCCCGCCCCCACGAAAACACATTTTTCCTTCTTTTTAAAGAAAAAAATAACAACAAAAATTACTATTACCGAATGGGAGCCTGACTGGTCTATTCTTAGTCTCTGGCGAATTTGTGCAAAATAGAATGCCATTGTTTCCAGGATGTTTCATTTCACACTCATCATCGGGTGTTTTGTTCTTTTGTAAAAAAGGAAAAGTGTTGACAGAGTAGATTTTTTTTTAAATTAAAAACAATGTGTATTTGTGTAGTATTGTAGTTTATTTCTGCAAAGAATTCTTCCTTTACGCACAATAAAAAAAAGTGCAGTCTTTCTTGTGCAATAATGGCATTATTATTCAGTTGTGACAGGAGTGCAAACCTGCAGTTATCCATGAGATGAGATCTAGTTCACATTAAATATCAAAAGTCCAGGTCAAAGAATTCAGAAAACTCACAATTGCTGGCTTATGAGTGAAGCAAAAAGTTTTATTTCACTTTCACAGCAATTGAACACCTGCATGTAACTGCAAAGTTTGCATCTCAACCTCAGACAATGGGCTTGAACAAGTGGAGTTGGCATTAGAGAAGCAACAAATGACAGCAATATGGATATAATAGTGCAATGTTCATGCAATTCCCCACTTCACACCTACTCGTCAACTTGGCTCCATGACTACCTTCACTGGCAGCGCAGAGCCAATGACGGCTCAGTTCTTTAACGAGTCACACTGAGATGACAAGGAGTCTTCTCTGGCCAAGCTTGAATGCATCTTTTTGTAAAGAGGCATAAAAAAAAGCTTGGATGTAATATTTTTTGGGGAGGCTGAGACAGACGGGACATTCCCCTGTGATGACCTTGAATGAAAAAAATAAATAAAAATACTAGTTTCATAGTATTTACACAAAAATTCACCTATGTGAAAATATCAGAAACATTTATTTTAACTTCTTTATACAAATCATATAGAGTAAACATCTTAAAAATGTTGTATTACTTGTATTGTGGTTAATGTGAAGAATATTACAATTCTGTCGTATTATAGAGCAACACTTGGTATTAGCTGGTTCACAAAACATGACTGCATGCCGTTTACAATTACAAACATGTCAGAAACTAAGATAAGAGTTACTGCATCTTTTTTCACCACAACAGTAACAATATGGATCACCACATGTTTTTTGGTGATCCCTAAAAACATTTAAAATTAGGATTGTTACTTTATATACTTTTTCACACCATTGATGCAGTGAGGGAATAAACATATTTGAAACTATGATTGAATCTAAATATTGTTTTCTCTTTAGTAATACAACTGTCATTTAATGTAACCTTAAAGTAGCCTGCATGATAAAGGATGGGTTCTATTTTTAAAAGAATATTTTTTTGTTTTTTGGGATTTGACCTAAAATGATTCTTCTTCCTGTAGGGTTTGAAATCCTATTAATACAAGACCTTAAAGTGTGTCAGAATGACCAGAGTTTTCTTTGGATGCATGAAGTAAAGTGCCGCAGCGATGTCCAGCACTCACTTGTTTTCATGCACAGCCTATCAACTTGCTGAAAAAAGGCTACTATATGTTCACCAAACTAACAAAAAAGGCACATTTAACCATTTGGACATAATTCTTTTGCAGAACCAAACAGCAAAACTTATATCTGTAGGCTTGCTAACCGAGCAGGAAGGTAAACTAATTAACAAGCTAATATAAAGTCATTACACTTCCATTGTTACTATAAAAATAGCAGAATAGAAAAATGTACATTTCACATGATAGAAGCAATACTAAGTGTTTGTTTTATGTTTTTCCTCAAGTGTTGAAATAACAGTAATAAATGTAACAGATTTGTTAGATTACTTTTAAGAACAGTTGTAATAATCTTTTTGTTTTAACTCAAATTTGGATCAAACTCGGATTGCTCATTGAGTGTTCCAAAATATTATGACAACATGATATTTTTACAGAGTTATCATGCACTTAATACATGATTCCAGGCACTGCGTCCCTGAAACCATCTGTTTCCCCAGTGAAATAAATGGCCACTGCCTTTAAATAGATAATAAAATAGAAGTACATGAGAGCCAAATCATCCTAGCCCACTGTCCAATCACATGTCTTGTTGCACTTTCCACTTCTGCACAGCTACAGCTTTTTATCTCACTTACAGGCTCGTGAGCTCCGTGTTTAACCTGCTCCGTCTGTAGCTATGATGTTAAACCACATGGCGCTTGGCTCGGTTCCCTCCTGACATGTCAGTGTTCTGTAACACGGTGCCGAGGCAATATTTACCTTCAAGGGAAAGTTCACTTGGCACACAGCCGAACCTTTTGGGGTGGCTGCTACTGTGTACTACATCCAACCTTTCCACCCACCCAAAATCATCAAGCTGACCCAGGCAGCCACCCACAGCCTCACAGCAGCAGCACTGCCCCGCCTGACTCCGCTGCTTGGACCAGAGCCAAACCAGAGCCAAACCAGAGCCCAAGCAAAGCGCCAAGAGGGACAAAGAGCAAGATACACACACTCAAAATCTGAGTGCAGGAGGAGAAAACTGGCGAGCGTGAACACATTGCACCTCGGCCTGGCGGTCTGCCAACACTCACTCAAGAGGCTCTTTTTTTTTTTTTTACCCACCACAAAAGCCAATCGGCGGTCAACCCCCTGTAGAGATTTGAAGTGTTTTACAAAGATACTCCCGGAGCAGTGCACGATGCAGTCAAGATTAAGCTGTCTTTGCCAGCAGGAGGGTTAGCAGAGAAATCACACTAAGCTCACAGAATTTAACAAAAGACAGGAACATGTTAAGAGAGCTAATATTATCAGAGGAAACACAATATTTAGAGGACATGACTAGGAAAAGAGCAAAACACAATTTGCAGTCAAGAAAGATTAAATAGAAAATGCATCGTAGCATCAGGAGCCACAGAGAGGAAGGAACTAACCTGTCTGAAGTGGTCATCGAATCCCCAGTCGGCCTGTCCATTAGGAGAGGCAGATGAGTTTGGTCCTGCAGGGGACATGCCCTCATCAGGTTCCTGCTTCACTCTAACAGGTGGGGAGGCAGCTCTCTGGGGGGCCGACATGGAGTAGCCTGCGAACGGACGGGCTGGGATGCGGGAGGCATTCTGTTGCAGAGCCAGGGTCTGCTTGCGGAGAAACTCCAGGCCGCTGGCGTTTCCCTCATCCTCGTCGCTGCCCTCGTCCCCCTCCATCATCTCGTTGTCGTCATCCTCATCCCCCGAATCCCGGCCTCTGTCCTCATCCTCCTCTCTTTCCGAGTCCACGCTGCTCTGATTGGACACCCGAGGAGGCAAGCCGGCTGCAGGAACGCCTCCAGCCAAGCCTTTGCCCATGAAGCTTGCCCCGGAAGCCCGGGCTGCAGCCAGTATGGCCTGCTGGGCTGCAACCTGCTGAGCGTACATGATGTGGGCCTCTCGCAGCTTCCGTTCCTTCCTCTCCATTTCTAGACGGGCCTGCTGCTGGCGCTGGAGCTGCTCCATCACTGCCTCCAGCTTCATTCCCCCTGTAGAGGTGCTCTGTGGAAAAGCCACACTGGGCTCCTGAGACATGCTTGGCTGTGGAGGGAAGAGAAAGAACCATAAAGTACAGATAAATAAAGCTACTCTCTCTGTAAAGATACTCTAGCAACACATTTGCATATATAAAACACATTTCTAAATAACCAAACAACATGTTTTCAGGGTTCAAACCGGGTTCAAAATAAATAAATAAAAGAATAATAAATCCAGGACATTATGCGCTAGATTCTATATTAAAATATTTCCACTCTTATCCTTTTATATATATATATTATATATATATATATATATATATATATATATAATATATATATATATATATATATATATATATATCTATATATATATACTCAAATAGTGTAAATGCACACACACTCTAAATAAAGGAAACCAACAACTAAGCAGATTACAATAAACCAGGTATTAATATGACTGATACAGGCAACAAATTCATTTTTAAATAGAAAACAGCACAGAGGCGGCAGATAAATATTGACTGCAATGACTCTTAGGACTCGGGCTCCACGTAAATTTGTCACAGAATCTTTACCCATGAACAATTTCTCTCAGTTATTTTGTTGAACAAGTCTGACATATAATTTTATTTTATTAAAATAGGATTTAAAATTGTATTTTCACTTATTTTGGGCTATTTATTATCCCGCTGTGAAGCACTTTATGAAGTGTTTCTTCTTTTTCATTATGTAGTTGAGGATTTTCATGATTCCCGCTGACTTTTGGAAATTTGATAAATTATGATCCTTGATCAAACCAAGACAATGTTAAGTGACGTCCTGCTGATATTATTTACTGAATTCATAGCCACATTTCCCTACATATATGAGCAGATAATAGAAAATGACTCGAGTGATTTTGAAAAATTGTTTTCCAATCCCAGGGTTGACACTTGACAAGGGTACTGGTCATTTATCCCTCTTACCCACTCAGCATTGGCTATTTTTTTATTTCAAATTCATGCGAGGAGGTGTTTTGTACCCGTTTTGACAACAAATGATTTCCAATGCTTTTTATGCAAATTGGAAGGTCTTCTAAAAGGAAATATGATTATAAATCTCCAATATTTTCTAGCAGCAGAAGGTCACACGGGTTTGCTATTTTGATTTGATCAGTTGTTGCGTTTCCAGTCATCTGGCCCAAATTGAGATTAGAACCAAAACTCAGAGGAAATAAGACGTCATAAAAGATTATAAAATCCAACTGAATTAAACTATAGGTGAGCGCAATAATCCACACACTTAACATAAACACTCATCTATAATAAAATAAATACATAATATATAGATAAGCAATTTCTTCAAAGACAAGAAGAATAAATGGGGGTCACCTTACCAGGACGCCCACCTTTCCGAGCCTAAATAGTCAAGCAAAATTTAAAACGTAGGAAATGGCAAGAAGGTAAAATGACCAGAACCTGGACTGGTATTGGAAGTGGACGATCGTTAAAGAGAGGGATGGACACAAACTTGGCATAATAAATTAAACTATAATCACGCTATACCAATGTGAAAACTGTCCCCAATTAGGTTCTAGCTTTTGATCAACATTATTTTCAATAGCAAACAACCACAAAAGTGGGGGGCAAAACAGACGTACAGTTAAAGCACCTCCTCCGTATTAGAGCGTGCTGGCTGCCACATCCTCAAAATAACGTGGATAACATGAGATAAGGAGGAGATAACATGCAAACATGCCAAGTCAGCCAACTTGCGCTTTTTTTTTTTTTTTTTAGGAGAATACAAATAAAAATAAAAATTGCAGCAGCTGCAATAATAAAAACGAATGAAAAGTAACCAGCTCTAAAGGTCATGTTACCTCTCCAAACTTTGCTCTCCTTTTTCTTTGGGAAACTACGCGATCAGCAGCCTCCTCCTCTCGGCAAGCGTGAATAAAAGCGTAAAAACGAACTGTCGGGGGGCTTTTTCAGCTCGCTGCCAGGTCAGAGAAGAGCAGAGCCACAAACAAGCACAGCCACCACTCACCATTTGCGCCTTGCTGCTGCTGGAGTTGTCCACCATCCCTCTTTCCTTGGGGTTTTATCCTTCTTCCCTCGTTTCTGGCACTCGTTCAAACACTTGTAAACACACACGCATGCGCGCGTGCACGCCCCTCAGATTCCGACTGATCCGCCGGGAGAAGGAGAAAAAGGAGCAATCCGACGTTTTCTCCTGGGCCAGTTCTCCAGGTTTGCCCGTGTTTCTGTCCGGTTTTTCCACCGCTTTCGTAAAATTCGTGATTTCCTCCTTTAATAGATAAGGGAGCAGGGTGGTAAATGACCCAATCTCATACCTCGAAAAGCGCTGAGGTAACTCCCTGTCGTTTTTCTTTTTTTTTTTCCTCCAGTGGAGTTGACACCCCCCTCGCATGGCGCACACCAGCGTTAGGCCCGCCCAACGACAGCAACAAGTATTTCGACTTAATTAAATTAATACATGCTTTTTATCTGACAGTAATTTCATTATTCCTCAACGGATTGAGGATTACAAAGAACATGTTCGCGGTTATTGCGAAAACGTCATAAGTATGTTTTTTTTTTTTAGTAAATCGAAATAAAAACACAGGTATTGATCGTCGCGTGTATATTTTTAAAGCCGAAGTGAATACATTTTTACATTTCAGGGCGTATACTGTATATGCACAATTTACACATTTTGCTTCTGTAGCATAAAAATCTTTCAATGGAGATGTTATAAAAACTTGGTGGAATATGTTTACCTCAACAGGTAGTTCAAGCAGCACAGCTCTATGCTGCCCCCTTCCGGAAATGAATGTCGGTAAGTCGATTTAAAAAGTGAAACTCATGTCCGTGTCAAACTCCAGTCCTCAAGGGCCACTGGCCTGCAGTTTTTAGATGCGCCACAGGTCGAAAACACTGGAATGAAATAGCTTAATGACCTACTTCTTGTATAGAGCCCTGCTTATGACTTAATTCTGATGTGCAGAGGCACATCAGAAAGTTGCAGGGCAATGGCCCTCCAGGACTGGAGTTTGACACCTGTGCATCAGAAGCGTTTGTTTCAATTGAAGAAGTCAGTGAGAAGATGTGCTATTTGATCCAAAATCTTTTGAAGTATAAAATTGATTCAAACCTTATAACATAGCAGAGTTCATTGATCTGCTTTAAATCAGAATGTTTTTTTCTAATTAGAAGAAAGGAAGTAGCTAACGTTCACAATTTGTTTAAATAATTTGAAAGCTTATCCTACTCATTTCTAGAGAAAATAATTTGTTTAAATTACATGCATTAGTCTGGATAGCCAATGCTTTAGTCATCCTATTCTGAAAGAGCTGCAATTTCACATATTTAAGTGGTTGAATAGATTGTGATAGTCCAAAAAGAAAGAGGTTCCCTGTAATGTGAATTCTTTATTTTTTTTTATTTATAATGTAAACCAACAGAGTACAATGGGAACAGAGTATTTACAGTTGTAAAACAAACAACAAAACATTTATTTATTGCATTCAGCACTCAATAACACAACCTTGTCACAATGTTGTACAACAAGCAGATTGTCCCATCGTTGCATAGTACAGGTGAGTCAAGTGTACTTGCTACTGGCAATTGGTGTTAAGTGCAAAATTTAATCTACATCGAAACACACCACAGAGCAAGAAATGGGGTTAAAAAATTAATTTAGAAGGTCCATATAAAGCAGTCTGCTCAAACCAGAAACCTGCCTTAAAACTATGAAACCTAAGGTTATGCTGCGTATCTCAACTCTCCAATTCAGGATTTATGACCCGCTTTCAGCTCTTCCTACATTGTCCTTGCACAGAATTTTGTTTTTGTTCTAGTCCTATACTTCCTCAATGTGTTGAACTGTTTTGCTATGCATATATGCAACAGTAGATAGGAAGGTTTTAATCCTGCCTGCATTATTTTATTCTCTTGAGCAGTTGTGTAATTTTCTAATTTAATTTTAAATATATATGCAACAGTCTATCCGATCCCTGTGCAACTGCGCATAAAAACTTCCTGAGACGGCAAAGTCTCTTCATCTCTGGCAAACAGTTGGTGATGATAATTTTAAAATGCATCCAAAAGTGAAAACAATTAATGCTGTAATATCAATGATAAATGTGTCCTGATGTCCTGAAGACAAAAGCAACAGAACACAAAGCAAATAAATGTGTGAATACAAATGCTAAATGTAAATTATATTACAACTGTAAATAACTTGTAACAAGTATTTTACCATACACTTAAATACAATGATAAATAAATAATGTAACTCAAATCTGATGTGGAGACATGTTTTCGTAGAAGTTGTTTAAACCAAAATACTACACAAATCAAAAGAAATTTACCTTTAAGAATCATTTAGTCAATCTTCAGTCTCTTCAATACATCTGTTCTTCAGATGTATTGAAGAGCTGTATGAGACAGCTCCCATTGCTGGTAGGTAGGTCCAAGTCAAACTGTAGATCTGTGACAAAGTGAATGACAAGATCCAAATATAATCCTCAATTTAAGCTCCGTCGCCAGAAATACATTTTGAACCATAAACAGCAGCTGTACAATGTGCAAAATGTATAAACGGAGTGCTTCTTAGTATGTTGCAGTTTTGTTCTGAGCTCTTATTTGTTGAAACAGGCGCTACATCTGTATGGTCACCTTGCTATTTAGAGTTTTGAGAGAGAGAATCAGATGTAGATTATAATGACAGAGGAAGTAAAAATAAAGCTAAGACTACTATTGTGCACTGAGCTGCTGCCAGTATTCCCATATCATTTAACAGTTAGAGATAAACAGTTGATCATTTCAGATTTGTCAGTTAAACTTTCCACACAAACCTTCATACTGGTGGGATTCTTGGGGGTTACAGAGCTGCTCACCATGGAGGAAATAAACCAGCCAGCTCCTCCTTGACTCAAAATTCTTATCAACATTGTTGCAATGCTCCATCACTCAACTCAGACCAGGGTCATGGTTACGGTTTTGTGAATGCTGCCAGAACATGATAAATAAATACAATTAGTTAGGCTTTGGAGTCACAGTGGATAAGGCTTGCTCTCATGTCCTTATGCATTCTCACTGAAGTTGAGCGATCTCGGTGTTCAATGTTAGCAGTCGAGCATCAGGCCTCAGACCTGGATTTCCTCAGGCAACATGCAGCAGCTGAGCTGCATTAGAAAGAAGAGCTTTGGCCCCAGCGACTAGCGAGCTGAATAAAGAGTCAGACCTTCAGAAAGTCCAAGACACAGCACCGACATCACTGCATGAGGCAAGACGGGCACTCGAAGCAGCAGCACATAGAAGAACCCATGGCTTTGGGGGGAATCAGGTCCAAGTCTTCATCATCAGGAATCTCATCCAGGTGGTAGCCATCCTGAAGCAGCTGCTTGCTTAAATCAGGATGGACCTGGAAAGAAAAAAAAAAAAAAACACTAGAACCTCACAGAACACCTGAGCTAAAGCTGAAAAATGTGAGTTTATATTTGAAGTTATTTTTATCCCATGCAGAGAACTGATGAGGGAAATATGTGGGTTTTTTTAGACAATTTCCAGAAGTTTCCTGCCCAATTAGATCATTAGGAAAAAAGAGCTTGAGCATTTTTCCTCCAAAATTTTAACAAATTGAGAGCTCTGAAGTTAACATTTTAAGGACTAAAACAAACAGGAGAAATATAGACATGCTGCAGGTGTATTGACAAAGACGAGTTTTAAAAATAAAAAAAATGCAAGTTTAACTGGTTTATCCAGAACATGCTTGCCCTTTCCTTTTTGTCTGATTCTTCAACTAAAAAAAGTGCATAACAAGACATTGATAGGCATTTGCAATAAATCAAGATATTTCAGTATTTCTCAGGCCAGTCACCAAACAGAACTAACTAAGGGGAAAGTGGCAGTTTTTGATATCTAGATGACTGATTGGGGGCTTATCTAGAACTAATTTTTGAGAAGATTGCCAGTTCATCATGAGAATATAATGACATTTCATTTGCATAAAGCTGCCAATCTTCCCGTGTGTGGATGTTTCAGTCAGTTTACCAAGAAGTGATATTTTACAAGGCTCTGCATAATCCCAAAAGATTAAAAAAAACTCCACTTAAAAAGACCCTCAGTTAGTATGTTAAATAAAAAAATTAAAAAAAGGTTATGAGAGTCCAAACAGATGATAAACAAGTTTGGCTTGTTTCAAAGGAGTTGCAGGAAAAAGACTTCTAGTTTCTAACTAGAGCCTATAAGATGAGAAATGAAGAATATACATCTGGATTTGACATAGGAGGACAGGTCTGCTCATATCTGAAATATGTAATATAATGCAGGGTGGTGTAGGACTGATGATTTGAGCTGCAGCTCTACAAACATCTTAATGTACAGCTTCTCTGTACATTAAGATATTCTACAATTAAAACAAACCCATCTGACAGTCACAGCTAGACTACTTTTTATGCAGGACAGTGATCTCTTCCAAATGAATAGAGAATAGAGAAGAATGAGAGCAGCTATGAAAAAAAAATAAATACTGTGGTGGGGAGCCTGTATAAAAAAACAAATGCACAAGCTCAGCCCTTGTGAGCTCAGCCCTAACTCTAGGAAATAAGGCCAAGCAATTTCTCTGTACAGCATATGTCATATATTACCTTAAACAATGGCGTGAGAAGAAAAAAGAAAACAACTATGCACATAAATTACTGTGACATTAACTCAATGACTACTGAGTAAAACAAATTAAAAATTGTCATCTGTGACGTGGTTGTTAGTTGAAATAACTCAAAGTAATGTTCTATTAGTGCCATAAGAAAAACTGTTTCATTTATCTTTTACCTCTTATTTGCTTTAAAAATCTATATATCTGTTACAGATGTCCTGCAAAAAAAATTGCACAATAGTTTCTGAATAATTATTCTGAAGGCAAGGCTTCCAATAAACCACTTTCTTAATAGTGTGAAAAGGTGCACACAGAGGATTAAAAAATGCACGAATTGAGTTAATGAAGGCCTTGGTGAAAAGAAAGCAAAATGATCTTCTCGCAACCACAGGCCAACAGTCCCGCAGCGAGTTTGACAATATGTCAAAGAAGAATCTGACAAATCTGAAAAATGTCCAGTGAGACAAACTCACCTCGGCTGAAGAGTATCCTGAGGAATACTGCTCAAAATCGATCTCTTCATCACTGTAAACATCAGGAAACGAGACTGTGAATGTCGTAAATTTAGCTGTTAAACTAAATCAGCAGTTCAGTGCCAACTTTATAGCACTATCAGCCGTAAATACGGCTTTTAAGATCATTTTGACTTCAACGGCATCATCTGATTGATATATGCCTCTTTCTGTTTTCCCCACCTGTCTGAGTCCAGCGCCACCAACATTTCCTCAGCGTTCTGGCTTAAAGCAGCATAGCCCTTGTTAAACTTCACCGTCCTGAAAAACAAGGTACAGAAAAATATCTCTTTAAACATCCCTGTTTCATGTGACACAATTAAAAAAAAAACTGCTTTTCTCTTTCCCCACCTCTTGACTCCCGGTCTGGGCTGTTGTGCCACTGGGACACCAGCAGAGAGGGCTTTCTTCTTTAGTGCTTTCCTCACCATCTCCCTGTGTTTCTCTTTGAATGATCAAAAAGAAGAAATGTCATCCTTATGCTGACAGATTGAAACCAACAACCACATTATGGATTAAACCATACTGAGATTCATCAGTGCTACTGTGCACATATTTCTAATGTATAATCCTTGCCTGTTTAAAGTCGGTCTGTAATGTTTGCACATGATATCTGCATTCTATGACCTTGGATAAAATAAACCCTAAACATTCTAAAAAGTCAGGGACTTAACCTCAATTAAATAGTTAAATATAACAGATATAAGTCACTGAAAGTTTGTAGATGTTTGTAGCCTTGTTCTCATCTTTCTCCTTGCTTTATCCATGAAAATGCTCACGTAATTTGAGGTGGATGGCTGGAGCTCTGGACATGATATAAGGTCCTCTCTTTTCCACCGGCCGGATGCCTCCATCTGGAATCTTAGGTCTTGTGCTGTTACTTGGTCCCTGAAATTTCACAAATTCAAATAAAGAGGGTTCATAACCCTTCAGCTGTTACATGTTTTTGTCAGACCACAACCACAAACCTCAATGGAATTAACTTAGATACTCAAGTTTGTTTTCGTTTATGTTACACAACAATATGAAAGGTGTGCATACATTTGCATATAGCCACTTTATTAAGACACGCCTTGGTAAATTACACTGCTACTAACTCCAAAAAAAAGGAAACTGAACCAAACTGTAACCTCACCAAGTCTTGGAAATTCATGTAAACTGACAGCCCAGAATAAACAAATGTAGTGTGTCTGTTCTCAGCTATTTTGTCTGTTCTTCACCGGCCTCCGCACATCACAGAATTAATTTCAAAATTCTTGTTTTCTTATAAATGCCTAAATGGTGTTCCTTCTCTGCACCTCTCTGATTTACTCCAGAATTATCTTCCTTCTTTTTCAATAACTTTTGGCACCATATAAGCTGACATGGTCTTTTTATTGTGTCTGTTTTACTTTATAAATGTTTTAATAATTATTGAATAACTTGATTTTCATATCTTTTTTCTTAACTTATTTTTGTAGTTGGTATACTTGCACTTGCACTTTACTTTATAAATAAATTGGATTTTGTATAATCAGAACATGCCATCCACACTGGGGAACAAAGTGGAGGCAGCATCATGCTCTGGGAAAGCTCTTCTTCAACAGAGACTGAGCTTATAGTTGACATGAAAATGCATGAAGCTCAATACATGCAAGAAAACATGTGAGATTGTAGCAGCCATGAATCTCGGGCAGAAGTTCAACTTTCAGTGGAAAACCCTAAACATGCAGCCGGCACTACCGTAGAATGGATTGGATCAAAGTATATTCATGTGTAAGAATCATAGTCCAGTTATTTATCGAACACAGACACTCTGGCCAGACTTGAAAATTGATTTTCAGACACATTGAATCTGATTAAGCTTGAGATATGAGATATGTTGCGGAACACCATTTTCAACCTCCAAAAGTGTAAAAATGGTAGGGACAAATATTGTAACTAAAAAGAGTTACAATAGCTAAACACAAAAGCATACCCCTCTGTCAAACTTTTATTTAAGTTATCTTAAGAATCAATTTTCCTCTTCAAATACATTGACGTTTATGGATGCAACGTGACAAAATATGGAAAAGTTGGAACTTTTAAGTTCATATGTGAACTTATAAATATTAAGAGTGTGTCTTGAAACACACATTTGATGAGCAACCTATAATAGATTTTTTGGGGGTTTACAAATAAACAGCACTGTGACCACAACAAATACATTTGTTTAGCTTTCCCTAACTGTTCGAACAGGAGAAAGCGGTTTAGAAAGACGTATTTTCTATGACAATCACTATGCTGGCATTATTGTTATATATATATATAAACTCAGAAGCTTTTATCTGAAGACGGTCTAATGTAAACAACTGTCAAAGATGACATGGTAGGCTAGCTAGCTAAACTCCCAGTTTCTGTTTTGATCCAAGCTGTCTTCAGTCTAGCTTTAGCTCACATTACCGACAAAACTTGTTGTTCCTGCGGCGCCTCCAGGAGTGTGTCCTTTTCAGGCTCCTCTATTATGTCGTTCATCATCTTCGGTTTAGTTGTCACAATGTATTCCACAACATAGCTATAACACTAGTCCCACAGGAGGGACGTGGTGATTACTTTTAGGCACTTCTGTTAGCCCGCTACTGTTGCTATTAGTGTTAGCCAGGGTCTCTACTTCCGGGGGGAAAATAAATAACGATTCCAGAGTTTTAAAGATTGACCATAAATAATGCAAATACATTTAAAAAGATAAGGACAAATTCTAGTTAGCAATTAATTTTAAAACAATTGTAACAACAAATAAAGTATTAAATTACGAATGCTACACTGATTCTTCTTTTGCTATATTTAAACCTGCCCTGCTTTTGAGCAGTCTGTCGCCATCTAGTGGCAAGGTTTGCTTTTGTATGACTGTGTTCTGCACGTGAAATGTATTTATGCAGATGGTGACTAACTGCAAATAATGAATGTCTCAACAGCACGGGATAAGTGAGCATTTTGTTTATCTGGGGTCTGTGGCACCACAGTTCTTTGTTGTTTACACAGTAGTCGTTTTTTTGTTTGTTTGTTTTTGTTTCGTCCCTCTGAGAAAATCGTTTCACTCCTAATTAATCTCCCAGATATTCACGCCTTAACCGGATTAACATATTGTTTTGTTGGCAGAACAATGACGCAGCCGTTTTCTGGACCGTAATGAGACGTAGTACAACCTCCTTACTCGCTTGTCGAATTTGGCTGAAATTACAAAGGATGGCACATCAAAGGGCCCCGAATGCACAATGAACATGCACATACATGTCCTCCCCACATTGAGAATGAATTAGGGAGAAATTGGGCATTAGAAAGGGAGATGGCAGGGAGTTCTGCAGAGTTAAATTGAATACATTGAAAAAGGTGTTAATATTTTGATTGGTAGTTGAGCTGAGCTGTGAATAAGAACACCTGCAATCATTATTGTGCTAATGCTGCATAGAGCTGATCTGGTCACACCTGCCTGATGAATTTTATTGGGTTTTTTTTTCTCTTTGCTGCTAACAAAGCAAAACTAATGAAACTGTAAATTATTTTCAAAGCTGTCTCTTATTATTGCAGATTTGTCAAAAAACAAATCTATTACTTTTATTTTGCCTCCAAAGGCCTCCTAAGGGGTTATTTTTTTTCCTGGAGTTATTCTTTTACCCCCATAGCTTGATTGTCTACGAGGAAATTTTGGATGAAGTTTGAAGGAAAATTACTAATCACTCTTCATTTATCAACTTTTTTATATAAAGGATATGCTCAGAGTTGACGCAGATTATATATCTCTTGTCCCCTAGATGCCATCAGAAATGAGCAAAAATTCCTTGCTGTGATCATTTAAAAAAGTGTATTGTAGATTTCATAGGAGTTTCTGTGCATCGAAATGTAATTATATTCAGTCTTTTGTTTTGACATCAATATTCGATTAATATTCAGCTGGGTATTCTTTTTGCAGTATTTCTAGAGTTCTATCTCATGGTCAAGTCCATTGTAAATAGTCACCTAAGGTAGAATAATGCTAATGCATGAGGCTTTATGCCTGTGGAGATGAACAAAAATGCTGCACAGAGGACTTTACAGAGAAATAATGGGTTTTCCAGTCTGAGAGAGTTGGACGAGGTGATATGAACCAAGATGGTAGAGGTTGCAGCGCCAAGTGGCAGGTAATGATTAATGAATGTGAACTTTTGTCAAGCATGCTCTTTACGGAGCCCGGAGTCCATTAGAGAACTCGAATGGACTTGCAAGAAACATAGATGAAAAAGACAGTCCACATTCATCTGATGGATGTCCCAGAAGTAAGACTGCACATTGTTTTTACATTAGTGTCTCCTCTCAATATGCTGTCTCTCATTCTGTCTGCACTGATCAATCAGTGGTTTCATGCCTTTTTGTCTCTGTGCATATAACCCACAGAAGTACATTGACACTGCCAACTGGTTCGAGAAAGGGTTCATTTCTTGAATCTTCATGTGCTCACGAAACCACCTACTGGCCAGGTGTATAATCACAGCCAGCTGTATCTCAACACGTGTGATGCATTGAATTTTTGTCTATTATGGCTCTTGGGAATGACGTCACAAAAGGTGTCGGACGAAATCATTTGTCTACATAAATTAATTATATACATATGTGTATAATAAAATATTGTTTGAATGTATTCTCTGTGTGTAATTTTTCCCCAAATAGTCGTGTCATGTCATATGGCATGTTGTGTAATAATGTTTATCTGTGACTCTAGAAAAATGGCTTAATCAGGCAGAGGACAGTGAAAGTGCTTGTGGAACTAGGGAGGGGGCAGTGAATAGGCTTAATGCTTGTGTAACTTGGATGATTTTATGCATTTTTATTAAGAAACAACAATTTCTCCACAGTTTTTGGTTTCAAACGATTCCTCTTTTTTGACACTACTTCTCCAGCCTTTGAAAAGACACACTCCTATATCTCCGATCTCTCTCTCTCTCTCTCTTTCTCCTAAACTCTCCAAACACAAACTAACTGTCTCAAACTAAATAACCACTATCCAAACTCTCCTATCCAAACTATCAAACCTCTATCCACTCTCTCAACTGACCGCTGGAAAATACAAGGAAAATGCCAATTAATTTTACAAGTTTAACAATAAAACTGAACATTGTTGGAGTTTATAAACTGTTTTGGGGGCGATTTGCAGTGACCAACTGACCTGACCTGCATGTTGTAGGGGATGAGGGGGGAACCGGAGCGCCCGGGGAAAACCCACGCAAACACGGTGAGACCATGCAAACTCCACACAGATGGTCTCTGTGAAGACGCAGCGCTAACCGCTGCGCCACCGTACTGCCCACCATTTTTCTGTTGGGTTGAGAAGGATCTATTTTCAATATTACATTCAGTTCTGTCAAAACATGAGGAAAAAGTGGAAATATTACATCTGTCTCTTTATTCTTACAGCAGTATAAGAAAAAGTAAATGTTTCATTATGAGCTGAAGTCTCTCTCACTAAAGAGCGATAATTAAAGACATGAATTATGTGTGCGCTAAGAGTAGTACCTCAAAGATTATTAGACTTTTATTAACATGGAACTTAAGAAAAAAGGTTTTTAAAATCACTGCTATAGAACAGCGGAAACCAAATCAAGACAGATTTTAGTTAGCTTCTTCAAAAGTAGCGTCTCTGAAAAGAGCCAGAAAGTTACTGTAGTGTATTCCTTGCAATATGAAAATATTGCAATATTATCTGTTAGGCATTAGAATAACAAATTCCTTTACCACTAAGTCTTCATCACACAATTGCTCATGTAATTTTCTGTTTCAGTTTTTGTACATTTAATTGTTTTAGGCTAACCCAGACACTAATGATTTTTTACCGTAAGGACAAAAGCTATCTGACCTTATGTGAAGTTATATTAACCTCTTCCTATAACTTGAATTCTAGTGAACAAAATAATAGTTTACCAACAGGCGCAGGATCTCTTGTCACTCCTACATGCAGAAATACTGTAAATCAATAGTCACTTCATTTATTTACTGGTAAATATAATTTAAAATACAATAGCAAATGTAGATTGTAGTTGGCTAATCGCAGAAAGCTAAACAGTGCTTTCCCTTGACTGTCTTGTGAGCTCACACCCAATTACTTTTTAAGCATCTTGCACCATCTCTGTTTCAGTCTGAAACACACTCTGCACCCGCCGCCTTGTTTTCTCTCGTAGTCTGTTGGCAGATAAACACTGGCAGAAATTGGGGCCCTCCTTCTTTAACTGAGCAGCAGAAGGCCACATGTTTAATGGTTTCATTTTGCTTCTCTCCTGCTGTTTCATGTACAATTGGTATGCTGAACTTCTTTTGAGCCTGTTTTGAAGGCTGAGAAAATATCCATGAGAATAGGAGAAAATATCTATTTACAGTTGTTATGAAAAACTGACAGGAATAAAAAAATAAAACTGTGATTCAGACAAATCTGTCAGAATAATGGGCACCAGGGGCCATTTTCTTTACCTTGCATACCTATTCATTCTGAGAAGTGATGATACATGAGCTGCTAAGGTATTTCTGATAAGTATGGATTTTTATGAATCTCTGCCTCCTTTTCTCCTCTATCAATAGAGCCTATTAAGTTAAGGCTCACAGCCAAAATCACTCAGTCACCAGTAAAGTGTCAGATCAGGTCAAGGCCCAAACAAGAAGGGATCCAACACTGGTTGTATGAAGCTCTTTATGGAGTGGCTGATGAGCTCCAACACATTTCACCTGTGCATCTGAAAACACAGAGAGAGGACTCTCTCATGAAGAGAGCCCCTAGAGGTCAGTGACCGTAACACCCTCCCCCATAAAATCCTACATAAAACATTTCTTCAACTTACAATATCACAGTGAGATAAAACATTATATCCTGGATAGTACATCAGCTATCACATTGTCCACCCCTTTCTTATGCCTAATGTCTAGGTTGTATTCTTGGGCCAATAAAGCCCAACGCATTAACCGCTGGTTGTGGGTATACATGCGGTTCAGGAAAACCAGTGGATTATGGTCCGTATAGACTATCACAGGACTTGTTGAACCCACATAAACTTCAAAATGCTGCAAAGCCAATAGCATGGCTAATGTTTCCTTCTCAATTGTGGAATAGTTTAATTGATGAGGCTTGAACTTAGCTGAGTAGTAGGAAACTGGGTGACTGATGTCATCTGTCCCGTCTTGGAGCACACTGCCCCAGCCCCAGTGGCACTTGCATCTACCTCCAGCTTGAAGGTCTTGCTGAAATCTGGAGCTGCCAATACAGGAGCACTGCATAGAAAGGACTTTGCACAGTCAAATGCATGTTGACATGCAGTAGTCCATTTGAATGGCATCTTTGGACTACACAAATTTGTCAGAGGAGCCACCACCACTGAGAAGTTCCTGCAGAAACACCTATAATAGCCAACCAATCCTAAGAAACGGCGTAGCTCACGTCTTGTGGTGGGCACAGGGTAGTTTAGGATAGCCTCCACCTTTGCATTCACCGGACGTACCTGGCCATGGCCCACTTCCTTTCCAAGGTACGTCACCACCGCTTTGGCAAACTCACACTTTGCCAGATTAAGGTGAGGGAGGCTTGAGCTAGACGAGCAAACACAGTTTCAGAGTGTTAATGTGATCAGTCCAGGTTGATGAATAGATTACAATGTCGTCCAAGTAGACATTACAGTTCTTAATGTCTCCCAATACAACATTCATCAGTCGCTGAAAGGTAGCTGGTGCATTTCGCATTCCAAATGCCATCACGGTATATTGCAAAAAATGGTCTGGTGTGACGAAAGC